GGGCTACTCTGTTGCTCAGGCTGGTCATGAACTCCCAGCCTCAAGCAATCCTCCCACCTGGACTCCCAAAGTGCTAGGATTATAGTATTACAAGCATGAGGCCACCTCACCTAACCTTATTATATAATTTTATGTCTTTTAAATCTTTTAAAGAAGCTCAGAGAAGGAGAGCCAAGTTTATATTTATATAGTTTGTTATATTACCTTCTTTTATACTATTTCTAGATCTCTTCGTTTTTTCCTGTGGATTTAAGTTACCATCTGGTGTTATTAGCATTTTATATGATTCCATTTTCTCTCTTTTCTTAGCGTATGAATTATACTTCCTTTAACAAAAACATCTTTTGTGAGGAGAACAAAAAATGTCCTTGTCTGTTGCCCTTTACCATACATAATTACAACTAATGAAGGTCTACTATCAAACAGCATCGTGGGCTAGTGTCCCTAGCTCAGTGAGTAGGGTGCCGGCCACATACACCGAGGCTGGCCAGTTTGAGCCCGACCCGGCCCTGCTAAACAATGACAACTGCAACCAAAAAATAGCCAGGCGTTGTGGCGGGCGCCTATAGTCCCAGCTACTTGGGAGGCTGAGGCAAGAGAATTGCTTAAGCCCGAGAGTTTGAGGTCGCTGTGAGCTGTGAGGCCACAGCACTCTTACCAAGAGCGACATAGTGAGACTTTCTCCAAAAACAAAAACAAAAACAGCATCGCGTTGCTCCACAGGTAGTGCAAGTCTCTAAAAATTAAGAATTCCTAATTCTTCCCACCCATGCTTGTGTCACTGCTGTCACTCATTTCACTTATCCATAACCTATGATCATCAAAAATACATTATTTTGAATAAACTGGTGTTAGATCAATTAGGAATAAGAAAAATGAAAGTTTTATTTTACTTTCACTTACTCCTTCTTAATATTCTTTTCTTTATATAGATCTAAATTTATGACCTATATCATTTTCCTTCTCTCTGAAAAACTTGACATTTCTTGCAAAGCAGATTTACTGTGAGAAATTCCTAGACTTTGTCTGAGAAAGTATGTCTCTTTTACTTTGGAAGGATAATTTCACTGAACATAGAATTCTAGATTCTTTTCTTAACACTTTAAATATTTCACTCCACTCTTTTTTTTTTCTTACATGATCTCTGAAGATAAATCCATTGTGGTTTTTTTTTTAAGAGACAAAGTTTCACTTTGTCACCCTCTGTAGAGTGCTGTGACCTCACACAGCTCACAGCAACTTCCAACTCCTGGGCTTAGACGATTCTCTTGCCTTTGCCTCGCAAGTAGCTGAGACTACAGGCACCTACCACAGTGCCCGGCCATTTTTTTGCTGCAGTTTGGCTGGAGCCGGGTTCGAACCCACCAAACTTGGTATATGGGGCTGGCGCCCTACCCACTGAGCCATAGACACCACCCATCATTGTGATGCTTATCCTCGCTCCTCTATAGGTAACTTTCCCTCCTACTCTCAGCTTCTTTCTTTTTTTTTTTTCTCCTCAGCTTCTTTCTTTCAAGATTTTTGTCTTTCTTGTTTTCTGCAGGGTTGTTTTGGTTTTGGTTGGGTTTGGGTTTGGGTAGGGGAGATTATTGTTTTTGTTTTTGTAAAGACAGGGTCTCCCTCTGTTGCCCAGGCTGGAGTGCTGTGGTATGATCACAGCTCACTTCAGCCTCTGAGTCCAGCAGACAGACTCAAGCAATTCTCCCCAGGCCTCAGGCTCCCAGGTAGATGGGACTACAGGCTTGGGCCATCATACTTGGCCATTTAAAAAAGTTTTTTGTAGAGACAGGGATCTCACTATGTTGCTCAAGCTGGTCTCAATCACCTGGCCTCAAGTGATCCTCCTTCCTTAGTCTCCCAAGTAGCTGGAATTACAGGCATGAGCCACCATGCCTGGCCTTTTCTGCAGTCATAATGGGAATATTTAGTGTAGTTTTGAGCATATATCTTGTTTGACATTCTCTGAGCTTCAAGATTTGTGGTTTGATGTTTGACATTAATTGGGGGATATTCTGAGTCATTATTATTTCAAATGTTTCTTCTCTTCTTCTCTTTCTTCTTCTTCTTCTGGTATTCCCATATATTTTAAACATAAATTTAATGTAATGAAATTTTTAAATAAAATGTAACTTAGAAGCTGGGCATGCATGCACGTGTAAGTCCCAGTTACTCAGAAGGCTGAGGCAGGAGGATTGCTTACGTGCTGGAGTTTGAGGTCATAGTGTATATGATCACATCTGAGGATAGCCTTCCCAACCCAGCAAGACTCCCATCACTAAAATTCTAAAAAATGATATATGTATACAAACGTACATAAGGAGAAGTATATAAATCATTAAGTGTCCCTCCCAGTTTTCACAAGGTGAACTCACCTATGTAATCAACATCTAGATAAGGAAACAGAACATTACCAGAAGCTCCTTTTTCAGTCATTATCCACCCACCTCCAAGGGTAACCACTGTCTTGACTCTGACATTATAGATTAGTTTTCCTTTTTAAACTACTTTATATCATATAAATGGAACCCTACAGCATGAAGTCTCTTGCATAGATTTCCTTACACTCAGTATTTGTGAGATTCTTCTGTATTGTTGGGTCTAGCAGCAGTTCATTCTTTTTCAGTAGGGTATAGTATCCCACTGTGCGAATACACCACAATTTATTTATCCCATTCAACTTTTCACACACATTGGAATTGTATCCATTTGGGGGGTATTACAAATAGTGCTGCTCTGGACTGTATGTGGGTGTCATTGGTGCATACATGTGCTTTCCTTTTGGCCATCTACCTAAGATTGAAATTCCTGGGATTTCCATATAGTCTACTAATGTTTATTGTTTTTCTCGTACTTTCCATGCCTATTTTGTTCGCTATGTTCTAGCGCCCAGAACAGAATGGGCTTCCAGCATATAACTGCTGATAAACGCGTCTGAGAATGAAGCACTTTGAGAGGGGAATGTGACCACTTTTTAAAGGGAGTTAACTGAAGAGTCTAAGGGGTGGACACGTGCACCAGGTCGCACAGCGGGTCTGGGACTCCATCTCCAGCGTGTATGACTGGGGAGGGCGCTCCTGATGCTCCGCTACCTGGTCCTGTGTCCCCAAGTCTGTGCTATTAAGTAAAGATGCAGGTTCTGTAGTCAGGTGTCCTTGAGCAAGGCCGGCGGGGTCACCGGCCACCTCATCCCAGGCTGGCAACTCAGCACATTGGGCGCGGACTCTGGGTGGGGAAGAGGAGTGCATGAGGGAGAGTGGGGACTGGAGTAAGAGTGGGGGACCCTCAGCTACATGCGCGCCCAGCCCACCGCCCGGGCCACTGCCGAGGCCCGCCCGGTGGCGACCCGGCCGCAGGGATCCAGGCGCCAGGTTACAAAGAAGCTGGTAACCCAGTCCTGCAAGCCCGCTCGCGCCATGGCCTCGGGAGCGCGGCTCGGGTCGCAGTCATCGGCGTCAGAGGGAAGACGCTTCCGCGGTCCCGCCTCCGTTGAACGTTCCTGTGCCTGTGCCGAGCCACAGCGGGGTCTCTGGGGCCCGCCAGCCCGAAGCGGCTTCCCTTCCCGCGCCGTCCACGATGGGACCCCTGCGGTCCTGGCTCCCAGCAGCGCCCGCTCCGCCTGAGCCCGAGGCGGACTGCGTGAGTGGCGACTGGGAATTCTTCTTGAAAGATCGCCTGGTGCTCTGCCACCTGGAAGTGGCGCAGCGGCAAACCCCAGGTAGGGGGTCCGCGGCGGGGCCCTTCCCACGCGCACGAGAGGCCACGGACGCCACCTGCACCCGCGCTCAGCTGCTCTGCACCCTGAAGGCCCCAGGTGTATCCCCTTCACTGGCACGAGGGGGATTCACTAGCTTCTCTCCCTGGGTGGAAGACTGGTTAGCAGGTGCTCGTGGAGAGCGCCGGTTGGAATTAGGGAACTCTGCTCAGGATGAAAAGTGCGACGGGGTGGGGCGTGTGAGTGGCGCGCAGTTGGGCCGCAGAGAGGCATTTGAATAGCACGGGGGTTCAAGCTGAAGGGCTGCTCCGGCCATTGGTGGACCTTCCCCGCGTGTCCTGCCCTTTCTCTAGCAGGTTGAGAGCTGCAGGGCCTTTGAGAGAGTCGTGTTGTGGCTCCTGAGGCTTAATAACATCTTTAACTTCTCCCACATCACTTTTAACTTGGCTGTCACTAGCTTCAGCGCCCTCTTGGTTTCAGTAAAGGTAGGGAGGCTTCTGAGAGATGGTACAGATGGTGGGGGAAGAAACTGACCATTGCTCCCAATTGCTGTTTGCGAGGTGTGGGGCCCCAGATGCTCAAACCAACGTGTATAAACTAAGTAACTTGGGCCTGGCGCGGTGGCTCACGCCTGTAATCCTAGCATTTGGGAGGGCAAAGCGGATGGATTGCTTGAGTTCACGAGTTTGAGACCAGCCTGAGCAAAAGCAAGACACCCCCCCCAATCTCTACTTAAAATAGAAAAGAACTAAGGCAAGAGGATTGCTTGAGCTCTAGTTGGAGGTTGCTGTGAGCTATGACACCACAGCACTCTACCCAGGCTGACAGCTTGAGACTGTTTAAAAAAAAAAAACTTGCTTGGGAAGTAACTTGCTCCAAGTGTCAGAGCTGGGATTGGAACCTCTCTGCATCCCACTGCTGTCTACTGTGAGTCATGTGGCTATCACGTGGGGAGCATGAGAGGACCTAGTTGGGGAAGGATTTCCTATGTGATGAGGTAGGTTATGCTTGTCTGGACCAGGCATGAGGCCAGGATGGGACTGTGTTCCTTAAGAAGGTGCCTCATTCCCACCTCCAGCCAGTCCCCTGACAAAGGAATAATGTCTAGTCACATGTTGTTCTGAAATCAAAAGCATCTTTCTGGCTAACTATAAAAATGGCACTGCCTTGTAGAGAAATACAGGTTTCTTTAAAAGGGGGGTAGGGGAAGGGCTTCTTTTCTTTTCTTGTCTTTTTTTGGAGACAAAGTCTCACTCTGTCACCCTGGGTAGAGTGCCCTGGCATCATAGCTCACAGCAACCTCATACTCTTGGGTTCAATTGATCCTCTTGCCTCACTTTCCTGAGTAGCTGGGATTACAGGTGTCTGCCACAATGCTTGCTCAGGCTGGTCTTGAACTCCTGAGCTCAAGCAATCTACCTGCCTCAGCCTCCCAGAGTGATAGGATTACTGGCTGGCAAGAGCCATCATGCCCAGCCCCCCACCCCCAGGGCTTATTTTCTTAAAGAAAAAAACATGACAGATGCTTTTCAGTTTGTTTCTGGCATTCATAGTCTGCTTAAATGTGTTTGTTCTATACTATAGATAAAAGAGAGGTTACTTCACTGAATCATAATTACTTCCTTGAGACTTGCTGTAAAAATTAATGAAGATGAGGTATGTATCCGCGGAAGTCCGCACTGGATTGCATTTGAGGTATAGGGGTATAACACTGGAGCATCCAGGTTTCCTGAAATGTCTGTGCCCTTGGGAATGGTGGGCATTTTGGAAACATCACTAACTTCCCAAGATCTCTCATGCCCTTTCCTTAGGCTTATTAGAATCCAGGACCCCACAATGGACAATTAGAACAGCTGAACTATCCTGGCCTGGCACACCCAGCAGCCCAACCTCGTGGCAGATACATCTTGCTTCATTGGTTGATGCCAGATGTCACTTCCCCTTGCACAGAAGCATCTGCTGCTAGGCTAGGGAAAGGTCTCCCAAACTATGTGGCTTAATGTCCACTCCCAGAAACTATGTCTAAGAAAGCTTCTTGAGACTTAAGCACTTAGCTGTGTCAACGAAACCAGTTCTCAGGAACTCTGGGGCCCTACTTTGAGAGAGGCAGGAGCCCACATGCTGGTGGTAAAGGAGAAGGCCCCACAAGGGTTTCAGGCTTGCTTGGACTACACAGTGGCTTCTGTTCAGGACAAGATAGGCTCCTAATGCCCTTCCCAGCCTTAACCACCCCTGTCTGACCTCTCCCACTTCTGGGGATGGTCAAACCACTGCCATTCCCATGGGGTCTCCCTTGGCTGATCCCTGGTCTGAGGAGGCAGGAAATAAGTTTGTGTCCAATTTCAAACATTCAATAAAAATGTTTTTAGCTTTTTTTTTCTTTGTGACAGAATCTCACTCTGTAGAGTGCAGTAGCATAATCAGCTAACTGCAACCTCAAATTCCTGGCTCAAGGACTTGTCCTGCCTCTGCCTCCCAAGTAGCTGGGATTACAGGTGTCTGCCACCATAGCTGGCTAATTGTTTTCTATTTTTAGTAGAGAAGGGCCCAGGCTGGTCTTGGACTCCTGACTTAAAGTAATCCTCCAGGCTCAGCCTACCAGAGTGCTTAGGATTATAGGTGTGAGTCACTGTGCCAAGCCCCTTTTTATTAGAATATAATTTGTATCCCCTAAAAAGTAAATGACCCTTAAAAGAAGTATTTCTGGAGATTATAGGAATGCTTCATTTATCTAAAAATGTAGGACCAAGTCTTTAATGCAGTTGGTACTTGAATGTTTACTCACAGACAAGCCTTTAGTCCCTCTGGAGGAAAGTCAGGATTTTTCCAGAATTGAACCACCTTCAATTGAGGTTGAAGGAAATGTGTTTGCAGTTGTGATGCTAAAAAAGCCATAAGAGGTTTTCACAATGGGCCTCTCTGGTGCAGACCAGGAAGCACAAAAAGCATAGCCTTTCCCTCTAGGACAATTCACCATAGGAGGGATCAGTAACAGGAATGGGTAGAACCCATGACTCCTGGAAAGCTTTGAGTTCTTGCAGCTGAACAGGTTAAGATGGCCCAGCCTCAGCCTCCAAAGCACCTTTGGGTATGAGCTGGCATGCAGTTGGGGGAATTAAGACCTATTTGCAGAGAATGACAGTGTGAAGTTCACTACACAACTACCTGAGGATTAGACAGCAAAGATCTGGAGGCCACCAGCTGCTGCAGTTCAAGGGCTCCACAATGGCCTTTGCCATCATCACCTTAGAGTTGGAGAGGCTCATGCCCGACTGGTGGACTCCTACATCTGATCTGCTAAAGAAAGCACAGGTAGACATGCTTCTTTTTGAAGCATTTCCTATGGCAGGCCACTAGAAAACAAATCCTGTAAGGTCTTGGGTGCCCAGTCCCCATGGATAAGAAAACAAAAGCTACTATGACGTGATGTAGGGCTTTTGCCTCTTTATTTTCATTTTACAGTTAATTCCACATGTAAAAGACTTCATAAAGCACTATGGCTCTGGCTATTCCCCAAATGAGCTGCTGAGGATGGAGCTGGCTATTCTGGACAAACTGCACTGGGACCTCTATATTGGGACGCCGCTGGATTTCTTGATTATAGTGAGTAGGAAGAGTTTGCAGAGTCTACCTAGACTCATTTGTGCCTTTAGAACAGCTGTTCACAACATAGGACGGCAAAGCACAGGCGTGCACACGTCCTTGCACATGCACCACAGTGAGGTGACCCACAAAGCTCACAACATACGGAAGAGTGAAAATGTATCTTAAATCCAACACAGTTCCACCAGACTCTCACTTCCAAGGGACATTAATGTTACAAAGACTTTTAGATGGCACTATTATGGTGAGTTTCTCTTTTAAATACACACTGCAAAAATATTTAACTTTCCATTCTATGAATACTGTACAGAAATATCTGTCTGCTTTTGCTACACTTTACACACATTCACTTAGCTGTCTTTATTCACCTACACACAATCCTCATTGAAGCTTTAGACCATATTGATCCGGCACTTAAAAAAATATCATACATCAGTTTGTATTTGTTTTAGTTGGGGAATGATGGTCATCCTTAAGGATATGATTCTGTTAGTAAGGCAAAATTATGCAATATGGAAATGTCATGGGATTTTGGTCTGTTATGAAACGTGAAGATTAAATCACTAAGGGCTGTTTCATTATGAAAACTGGCCACCTATTGCCAACTTGCAGATTTTCTTATCTTGAGCAGATACAAGTAACTTCTCTGCTACTTTGATCTTGAATAATATGTTTCTGTTTTTCTGAATTGAAACATTGTTATTAGAGTACTTTAGGCTCAAAATGACCATGTCACAAAGCTGACCGTCTTTTCTCTCCAGGGTTGAAGTGCAGCTTGGGCACAGAATGGGCCTTAAGCCTCAAGCCCCCCATGGAACCATGGATAGGAATGAAAAGGGTTGGGCAACATTTGATGCTCCCTGATGGAAATTTAAATTGTTTGCACTTTTGGTCATTGATATATGAAAAGTATGGGGTTTTCTGTTCTAACATTAAAAACCATGGTCTCCAGTTCCATACCCTGGTGCTCCTGAGCTGGCCCCGTGTGAAGGAGCTGATACCTCAGAGGAATCCTTCCCGCCACGTTGCATCCCTGACCAGACAGCTGCAGCACTGTATGGCAGGCCACCAGCTGCTGCAGTTCAAGGGCTCCACACTGGCCTTTGTCATCATCACCTTAGAGTTGGAGAGGCTCATGCCCGACTGGTGGACTCCTACATCTGATCTGCTAAAGAAAGCACAGGTAGACATCAACTTTGCCCCAGACCAGGCTTTGCATTTTGCCCCTTTAGTTGATGTACTCTGCCCCCGGTAGGGTAATTTTGACCCTTCTGGGCACCAAAAGATGTTCTGGCAATAACTCTGGGAAGAGTCTGCTTGAGGGCTAAGCTTTCCACTCCTAGCCATCCTGTATGGACTTGAGTATGGGCCACACATTCCCTTCACTGGACCAGTGATGGTGTGTTTCTCTGACAGTGAGACAAACTTTATCTCCATGACAACCCTTGTAGTCAAGAGAATCACAGGGCAGGCAAGGGCATGTCTAGCTCAGGAAGAAGTAACTTCAAGCTTAATATTGGTGAGTGTAAATTCCAGACCCCTCACCCTCTGTATGACATGTGGTGCCAGGTACTGGGGTACCATGAAGCACTGAGGAGAGGGGTGTTAGGGCAGATAGGTTAGGATGGTATGCAGAGTTAGACTGATGAGGCCAGAGATGGATGACCCTGAGATGGTAGGATTAATGTTCTTTTAGTTGGGTGGCTGGACCTTCCTGCAGTTGCTTCATGTTAACATTTGGCATTCAGCTGCCTACTTCTCAGAATGTAAGATGCTTCTACTTCAAGGATGGCTACTCTGTTATAATACAGGTCAGTTTTGAGCAGTACAGACACTGCAAGGAACTTACAAAGCAGCAGCTGAGAAGTCTTTAGTCATCTTCCCGCACAGAAAACTTGGTTTCACCTGCCAGCCAGCCCTTCTGCCCTGACCCGTGCCTTCACAGCATAAAGGGACAGCTCCTTGCTTAGACTCCTATGAGTTCTCTGGCTTTATGAATCCTGTAACAAGGGAAGAAGGCCCTAGAAAGTGCCTGAGACCTTAGAAGAAAATAAGGGGGAAGGCAGGTTGGTGGAGGTCAGGATGGTCTGTAGGCCATGATCCTGCCCTGCCCCTCTCCCCCTGGGACCGAAATCAGGGAGAATGAATGAATGTTCAAACTGCAGCTTGTTTGTCCTTCCTTCTCCAAGCAAGAATGAGCATGGGCCCCTAAAAGCTGGAATGTGAGGCCAGGAGGCTGACGGCCAGGGCTGTCTGACAACCAGTCCTTGCTGCTGGCCAGATGATCCCAAGCTCATCCCAAACCTATGTGCGGTGCTTCAAGTCCCAACTACTCTGTCTGCCACTCCAAACACATTTACCCTGACGTGGCCATGACTTATATCTTCTCTTCACAAAGACTGGGTTATAAACTATACTTCATTTAATGTACAGTAACTTGAGCAAGCTTTAAGCATTCTTGACCTTGTTACTATTTAAGTACTTCATTGGTTTAACTAGAATTTTACACTAATGAAGGGATATTACAGGCTAACACCTGTGATGGGAAGGCCAACCCTGCTCCAACCACTGCTGCCAGGAGGAGATGACTTGCATGGCTCTCAGGAGAAGCCAGCTGCTGCTCTGAAGCTGTGCTACTGTAGAGCCATTCTCTAAGCAGAGGAGTCCAGCTGACAAAGATACCAGCTGGAGCTGTGTAAATAGTCTTGGGGATATGAATGGCTGAGCCACACATTCAGAGGTGTTTTGTGAAATCCTTCGATTGTGAACAATTTTTTTGTAAATCTTCTAAGCTATGGGGTGGGGGTGGGGATGATTTGCTACACAGTGCAAAGTGGTCAAGGGCAGATACGCTATAATTGTCTATGTTATAAAGTAAGATTATGCCTCCACCTTTTCTTGACACGGATTTGCTTGTTGGAGCTTTTGGAAAAAATCCTTGTTTCCAAGCCTGTCTGAATGTTATTTTGCATTTATGGGATACTGTGCATTTTATTTGCTGTCATCCTGGAATGCTATTTCCTAGGTCCTATCAAGAATCGTTCTCTAGTCCTGCACCCATTTTGCGGATGGAGATGCTGAGACCACACTGCTCATGGCCACAGCTGCCTGTGGTGGCCATGACTGCCCTACGTTTGCTTCCTTCCAGTGTGATTGGGCACTGTAGTGGGTGGGGCAGGAGCTCATCCTGATGGCCCACAGCAGCTCGGGCTGTCTCAATCTTTGGGAAACTGCTGGGAGGCATCTGGGCCTCTTAACCAGGTGGCTCTGGATGCAAGCTGGATCCCCAGAGCTGGTCCAACTCTCTGTCTCTTGGAGAAAATAGAACTTTGAGCCCTAGTAATTGGATAAGAGACAAACTTGTTGCTTCACCTTTCAGTAAGAGATGTGACTCTTTTTTTTTTTTTTTTTTTTTACAGTTTTTGGCCGGGGCTGAGTTTGAACCCGCCACCTCCAGCATATGGGGCCAGTGCCCTACTCCTTTGAGCCACAGGCACCACCTGAGATGTAACTCTTCTTTAGGGATGCTAACTGTTGTACTGCTAAAGTACCTCTTCTAAAAAGTCTTGTGTGTGCTATTCAAGCTTGCTGTGGCCTCAGACCATATCCTACTCCTCTCTAATGTTCTCTGTCATTAACAACTCATATCCCACCTCAACTCAGAGATTGGGAATCACTGTTGTGGAAGAAATATGGACACATTCCATCTTCCTCTTGTCCCTAGATGCAGAGGGGCAGCAACTGGTAAAGCACTGAGGCTGCAGGAGATGGAGATAGGAAAAAACTCAGGCAGCTGCTATGGCAGTGGGAAAAGCAGGGGCCCTGAGTGAGGCACAGGGTGGAGGGGCCTCATGGGCCTCAAACTTGTCCGACAGTCCTTTCCCCAAATGGGTGAGTTGCACAGTGGTGTTCCCTCTACCAAGGAGACCCTTGATCCTCTGGTCTCCTGGAGACTCTCAAGACTTTGCTTGCCTACCACTTGCCTTCCCATGGGTAGAGTTGAGCCACACCTTCAGTAGAGATATCTGCATGCCGGTCTCCCCACCAGGTCCCCCAACCTCTGTCCCCATTTTCTCATTTTGGTCCTCCCAGTCTACCTACTACCCAACAAGAATGTTCCTCAACAAATAACCCCCTGCATGTGTTATCACTTCCTTTAACTACCAATCTGGCCTTCCTCGGCCAAACCTTTGCCTGCCCCCCATGGAGTGCCCCCACCCCATCTACAAAACCATTTCAGGCCCACCAGCCCACACCACTGTTGACTGCATACTTTAAAACCGGCTACATTTCCACCATTCCATCATTTCAATGGGGTGCCAGGGAGCAGCTATAGCTCAGGAATTAAGGGTACAGACTACTAATGTTCACATCTCAGCTCCTTCAGTTACTTACTGTGTGACCTTGGGTGATTACGTAACTTCTGTATGCCTCACCATGAATAACGGTACCTAATCATGGGCTTATGATGAGGATTAGAGGAATTAATGCAGGTAATACACATCAGAGAAATCCTAGCACATAATAAGCACTCAAAGGTTAGCAGCCCCATGTCAAGCCTCTTTGATAAGGATGTCACCTCCTCAAGGGCAAGGTGTCATGCCCTTCTCATGTCATGTGCCCAAGTGCCCAATAAAGATTCATGGGTTACAGGCTACATCTTCTCTTTCCTGTGACTCTTTCCTCTATCCCACACCCCTCCAAGAGATCCACAGCTGAGTAACAGGATTCCTTATTAAAATGCAATTCCTGTAGAAGTAGAGTGACCTCCACAAAAGTTCACAGAAAAGACAAGCTGTATTTTACCACAGTTACAGCAGATTAATAGGCTCAGGAAACTTGTTAAATAAGAAAAGCTGCTGCCCAAAAAAAGACACCACAAAAACTCAAAATAAATGCAAAATTTAATGAAAAAAAAAATGAGTACAAAGTGAATGGAAAGGAACAAAAACAGTCAATGAATGAAGGAGTAAATGAATTAACAAGTGAAGCAGTTTTAGAAAAGCATGTTAACAGACTAGCAAGTCACTCTTCCTTCAGGCCTTATCCAGGAACATGAGCCCCTCTTAAAAGGTAGTCCACACATGGACATACACAAACATACATGCAGTCAGTCTGCATATCACAAACCACCTAGATCAAGTCACCCATAACTAGGGAGATCACATATCCCCCTCTGCCTGGGACAATTCTGGTTTATGCCTGTCAGCCTGGAGGAATTACTAACAGCATCCCCTTTCTCAAAAGTCCCAGTTTGGACAATAAATTACATGGTGATTCTTCTGCATGGTTTATGAAAGACATGATAATAAATGCCAACATGATCCTATATGATAGCCCTAATAAATGCAAACAGATGATAATGAGGAAATAAAAGGGATAAATTGGATCCTGTGGACAGGGTCATATTCCATGAGGGGTATCTTGTTAAATAACGGTAAGTTTTAAGCTCACCTCGTGCACCAAGGATTAATTTGGTCTCAGCTAAAGATGATGAAATTCCAGACACAAACAGCAGAGGGAGAGGAGCAGTGAGGCTTGCTAGAGCTGATGGGACCTGTGGAGGCAGCTCAGACCCCAGAAAATCCAAGTCTGTCAGGTCTTCCTAGAGATGCAGGAAGTCTTGGGCCCAAAGGCAAGCAACCAACCACAATTATGCCCTTCCAGTATGCCCTGGGTGGGGTCCATATCCTGCCCACTCCAGAGTCCCCAGGTTGGCCTATGAACCAGAACTTGTCATTTCCTATATAACCAATAAACCTGCTGGGTCACCAGGCCTCATCTTCAGAAAAATGTTAGATGAGAAGCTACCTTAAAGTTCACACTTTGACCCAGCCAAATATACTTTCAGACATAATTACCCTGCAGACAGGCTCCTTGCGGCCAACATTTGTCTTAATGTGCCAATGTACCTTTTGAGATTTACCTTTTTACCCACATTGAAGCACCAGTTTTCAGTTACACCCAGAGGTGGATGTATTACAAATCTAATGAAGCTTGATCTTCAGGGCCCCTTCCAAAGACCTGTACCTAATTTTATTTTCATATTCTTTTTATTAAAGAAGTTTTCCTAAATAGGTCAAACTTTCAGCCCCATAAAATCTGGATCTACTCCTGCTCATGGCATAACAGTTGGAGAATTTTCACTGTGAACATCACTAGAACCCACTCTACTCCTGGCACGTGAAGCCCCTCCCATGTAAAGACTGCCTTTTTTTTTTTTTGTCTGTGCCTCAGTGGACACAGACAACTCAGCCTTCCACCTCAGTCTGAGTGGAACAAGATCTCAGAAGGGCAGCAGGAAGCCAGGGCTTCCTGGAAATCAATAAAACAGGCCAGGAAGAAAGGGGGAAATGGTGATGGGAGGGAAGATGGCAGGCATGAAGAGCAAATATCGATTCAACAGTAAGTTATCACAACCTCCCAAAGCTTCCAGCCAGGCAGTGCACTAGTCTGGGAGCTGCTTGAGGGGAATGCTGTGCGTTCCTCCAAGCAGCACGAGTGCCCAGCACAGTGCTTCATCACCATTAAAGACTGTCCTTCCTTTCATCTATTCATTTTTATCTCCCATTTTACCTGGCCATATTCTCAAACTTGATACTCTTAGTGGCTTATAAACTAATAGGTGCCTAAGAGAATCAGTGTTGCTGGTACTTTCTTAAAATATTCCCCTTTGGAGTACAGCCAAAGGGGAAAAGCTCCTTTTCTGCTAGTTTTTTCTTAAATTGTCTATACACATCAGACACCTTTTCTTCACCCTGTGCTTCAGACTCAGGAAAGAAGAAACAATGACCTTGAGGTAACAACCTTTTTCCCACTGAACACTCTTTGCATAATATTCAGGATTGGGTTTGGGGAGGGGGGACTTAATTGGAGTTAAACACTTAACACACACATACACACATGGAATTGGTCCCTGTTTACAGGTCCCTGTAGCACCTCTGGGACACAGAGACAATGGCTTTGGGCTGCTGTTCCATTTACATTCACAGTAAAAACACTGGACATGGTCTTGTTCATGTCCCACTTTCATCCATAAAGAAATTCCAAACACTGTCATTATAGGAAGTTTATTACCCACCTCTCCCTATATATTATAGGGGTACTTTTATACATAAGAAAGGTTTAGAGATATTTTTAGTTTTTAAAAACCAGGGAATCTGTGTTACTTATTAAAATAATGGGAGAGGATATTATTTGTCTTTTATGCTGGTGCCAAAATAAAAATTTAGAAGTGTTTTTAAGTTATTATTAAAATTAGGCTCCAGGTTAGAACATTAAAATGAAGGGGAATCGTGTGAATTTTGCAGCATGTATACCAGACCACGCGGCTGCACCTAGGGCAGCAAGTGAGTTGCCATCTTGACGCTGAACAATTAGGCCTAGCATCACCAGCTGGGGCCTTCACTAGAGTGGCACATAACTGCTCCGTCAAGGAATAGTGACACTGTAAATGGAAGACCAGCCACTGGCTCTGAAAAAAATAAACCTTGTCAGTTTTGGATTCCAGCATTCATGGCTTTTACGTGTTTGCATAGAGAGGGGTGGCCCGCCAGGCCCAGAGGCAGCCTGGGGCCGGGGGCAAAGCAAAGCTGTAAACACTGGAGTTGGTACCGGCTCCCAGTCCGTCCTCACACCATGTTATGGGAGAAGGGTCACAAGGTGTAACTCAAGCAACTTAACACATGAAAGTCTAAAGTCCACTCTTGACATGTAAGTCTGTGCGTGCGTTAACTGAAAAATAAAAATAAAACAAACAAAACAAAAACAGACACATTAAAAGATACGCAGACCAAATCAAACATAAGCAAAAGACAGCAAGATGGACACCAGGAAAGGGCAGTCAGTTTGGCATTGTGTCGAGCAAAGCAGAGAATTCACTTCGGTTTGTGGCATCCCAGGCTGAGGGTCAAGATCTGATTGGGAAGTAATTTTGCAAAAATGGATTAAAATTTGAAGAATAAGTATAATCAATTCAAAGCCATTTAACTAAATGGTTGTGAAAAATACCCCCTGCCACCCTTCCCAAAAAAGTCCTCCCAACTCACCCTATTCCCTTGACCAAGGCAGGAGGAAGGGATGCTTCTGGCCCCCAGAAGGCCAGCAGAGAAAGAGAGAGAACTGGGAGGCCAAACTGATTGGAGCTTTCTGGCATGTCCAGCAAACAGAAAAGACCTGTTGTTCAGGCCCAGGCCTGGAGAACATATCAAGGAGCCCAGGCCACATGGGAAAAGCAGGGCGACCAGACACTGGTCACAGGCCCCCACGCTGAGAGCTGTGCTGGTAACCTTGCAGCCTGCCTGCTCTCCAACCACTGGCCCTCACATGCTGACCTGGCTGCAGGTCCTTATATTCAATTTCTGAGTGGCTTCTCCACAACTTATCTAACTTTTCTTTAACAAGATGGCCTGGGCTAACCTAGCAAGAAGCAGGGCAAAGTCACTTTGGGTGCCAGCCTCTGGGTCATAGACCTCTGCACCCTCATTCCTACCCTAGGAGAAACTAAATATTTCTGAGTGTCAGCTTAAAACCCACACAGGTTCCGACTCAGTGAGCCTCCATGCTTACCACACAAAGAGCTGGACAAGGGATCAGGGCCAGAAGCAAACACAAAGCAGAGGGGAAATGCACAAGGCTGAGGGGAATATGGTTCTGGGGTCCCCTGGGGCTAAGCAGGGACTCATCTCTCCCAGCATTGCTAGCAGCTGGGGACGGGCCCCTGGGCATTGAGATGGGTGATTACACAAAGCAGAAGAGTGTCCCAAATCAGAGGACAGACCCTAAAAACAACAGTTGGCATCCACTTCCTAAATACTTGGTTCTATGTCACCCCCCACCCCCAGGACCCCCCCCAGGAAAGCACGCTTTAAATATCTTTTCCTTAGTCCGTATCTGTGCCTCTGTGCATGGGTATACGGTGTGTTGGTAGACGTACACCTGAGCCTGTGTATGTGATGGGGCATGAGGGGAGTAACTAGTGTGTGTGCACGGGTGTACGTATGTGCTGCCTGTGCATGTTAGGAAACGCAATACTGGGAGTGCCAACGGGGTTGCTAATGCCAGAGGCAGCACCCTAGGGCTATAGCTATGTACTTCATGGCCCCAGCCATGAGGCTCAACTGCCACCAAGGAAGGAAAGGTCTGGACACAAACATCCCCAAACATTTCAGGAAGAAATGGATCCCAAGAATGAAGGCAGGAGGGGTGCACCTGCTTAGTTCCTGCATTGGTGAGAAGGATGTTACCTGATATGGGCCAGGGCAGGGAGAAACAGAGATGGATGAGACCCCCACAGTGTGATCTAGCATGGGGGTGTGAATGAAGTGGGTTGGGGAGGGAGGTCCCCAGGAGCCAGAGCATCTGTACTCCCACTATGTGGAAAGAGGTTATGAAGAATGCTACGGAGAAGTGACTCAGAGCTGCCCCCACCTGGCCGCTGTGTTGACTGCACTCCTGGTGCTGGGAAATCCCACCATGCTGTCCAGTCTTTCTCCTCTACTCTGCAGCAACTCCAACCTCTACTTGAGGGGTCGGTCGCTCCTTCCCCTCAGCAGACCTCACAGAGCCCCTACAGGGAGATACTGTCCTTTCTTTTAGTCCTACATGCCCTTCAAAACTGTGCAGTGATCCAGTTGTCCAGGGGTCAGTGGGCTGAGCTTGAGTCCCTACAGCCATCCAACATGGGGCCTGTACCTGTAACTTCAGAGCCGCAGGAGGGATGTGCCACTGATGTCCAACCAGAAACTACAGGAGGCTGGAAATGCTGATATCCCCTGGCTTAAAAGACTTTCCCTAAGGCCCTACAGCTACCCCCTCAGCAGCCGCTCCCTGCTGGGGTGGCCCAGACTTCACCACAAAGCAGCAGAGGCCCTGTTTCTGGGAAGAGAACTGGGAACCCCCCAAGAGAGCAGGGGTAGGGACACAGAAGGGAGACAGAGAGAGAAGGCAGGCACAAGATCACCTGTGCAGGAGACAGTGTGATCCAGACTGTGGATGTCAGATCACTAGTGAAAGAAAGAGGAAAAGAAAGGTAAGCAAGAAGGAGGTGGGAGAGCAAGTGAAAACAGGAAAGAGCAATGGGGGGAGAGAGCAGGAGAGAGCGCGAGATGAGCAAGGAGGGTGAGCAGGAGAGCAGCAAGGATAAGGGCAGAAGCCAAGGGCCCAGAGCAGGAGAGTGCACAGAGGACAGGAGCCAGGCCCGCCACCTACTTCTTCTTGTCCTTGTCCTTCCTCAGGGGCTGCTGTGAGGTGGCGTGCAAGGCCTGTGACTGCAGGGCCTCCACCGCAGCCTTCCTGCGGTTGAAGGCGTTGGTCTCCTCCTCCAGTTCCCGGCGCTTCTCCTCCACCTTGCGCTTCTCCTCCTGGTGGACCCGCTTCAGGTGCTCGAACTTCTCATGGAGCTGGGAGCAGAGTGGAGTGGGTTTCAGCCTGGGCGGGAAGCCCAAAGGCATTCCCACCTCCACCCCTGCTGGCCCCACCCTCCTCCCTGGTGCCCACCACGTCCCCAAGCCCAGCACACACCTCCCTTTCCTTCTCCTTCAATTCCAGCTCTGTCTCCTTCACTTTGTTGACGAACATCTGCCTCATCTCTTCCTCCTTCCTCTGCAGCTCACTCAGAAACTCCTTCCTCTTGGCTTCATATGTCTCTTGTAGACTGCAGAGATGCAGAAAAGAAGGGCCAAGGGGGGTTATGGAGGAATGGGCAGAGCCAGGGAAGCAGAATCCGGTGGCACTAGGGACAAGAAGATGCTGGGGTCCCAACAGCTTCTGCCTGGCTCCCAAGACCCTAGGGCACAAATGACAGTGTGGCAGGTCTGGCTATGTCACTGAAGACGGGCTTGCTGCCTGCTCTGGCTGTCACCTGAAGGGCTGACTGTCACCATCGCTGTCCTGGAAGCCCATCTCCTCCAACTTGCAGCGCCGGTAGAGCTCATAGTGCCGACTGTGGGTCTGCTCCCGGAGGTCCTCCATGTTCACCCGGATCAACATCTCCCGGAGCTTCACAAAGTCGCAGTGATTCTCATTCTCCACTGAAAGCAGAGGGCATATGGGGAGTCAGGCAGGCACCCCGGTGGGCAGGGGGAGGGCAGCGCACAGGACAGTGGTAGGGGTGCTAGAGACAGACTCTGCAGAGTCAGGGCAGGCTCCCACGAGAGAGGCAACAGGACAGCATGTGATAGTGGCAGGGCTGCACGGGGGACTAAGTTCAGGCCCCCCACTGGGGATGTGCTCCCCCCTCCACACTCACCCTGCACCACTCCCCAAGGGTACTGCCGTGCTCGGACCAGCTTGTTTCCCACCTTCACCTCCTCGGTGCTGCCCACCACAGCAAAGGGCAGGTGTGCCTGGAAAGGGGCCCAAGTGAGGGTGAGCACTGAGCCCACACAGGCTAATGGAGACTCTCTCTCACTCCCCTGGGTCCCGGGGAGGAACTGCCAGACTGAACAAAGGCCCTAGGGCCAGATGCTCTCTACCTGCTCTCTTCTGGAGAAATGTTCTAGAACTCCCAACAGGGGAATGGGCTGAACCCTCAACTCCCATCCCTGGTGCTTCCGACTGTCTGGGCTGTTCCTTTACCCTTGGGCTCCCAGGGGCTGTTAGAGCTCCCTGAAAACAGCTATGGGCCTGACTCCCTTCCAAGTCCCCAAACCCTGGCTCCATGCCTGCTCACTCCTGCAGATCTCAGGTTCCTACCCTAAGTCCAAGATCTCCTCCCAGGTTGTGACATCTCAACCTGGGGGGAGCCCCAGTGCAAGCCCAAAATCAGATTCCTTCAGTCCTCTATCCACAAAACCTAGGCCTAGCCAGCTCCAGATGCCCACCCTTCTGTCCTGGAGAATCTCAGGCTGGCATTCTGGGGAATGGCACAGGGCTGAATGAGCTCTGTACTGGCCCTAGAGTCCCAAGACCCTTGCCCCACACTCACGTTCATAACTGCATTAATCTCTGCAACTGCCTCATCATCTGTGGGAAACTGGTAGATCTGGACCCCGTTGCTGACCAGCTCACCCATGATCTTGATCTTGAACTTGTGGAGCTCGCTCTTGGAGATGGTGTCGGCCTTGGCAATGATGGGAATAATGTTCACCTGCCCAGATCAGGGGTGGGGACAGTAGGTTGGTTGTCTATTTTGAACAATTGCTCCCTGACCATGGACAGCCATGCCCAGACCACATCCCTAGGCAGAGGGGCAGGAAGCCAGACAGATGGAGCTCTCCTGTGGGTAGTCCTGAACCAATACCAGCCACCTGTGATCGTTCTGATGGGTGGTAACAATTGGCTACAGTACTCCTTACAGCCTTGGTTCCCCCAAATCACCCTCCATGCCTGAAGTGGCCCCCGTTGGCATGCCTGGCATTAACTCAGAATGTTCTGAAGGTCCTAATTGGCCTGAGGCCTCACAGAAGCAGTGGGAAGGGGCGGAGCTCCCCACTAAGGAGGTTAAGATGACCATCAGCCATAAGAATATCTCAAAACCTCCCAGGCCAAGATCATCCCATTTTTCACAACAAAAATTAACTCTTAAGATGCAGAACGTAGTCACATGAGAGGAGACTATAAGAGTCACATGAGGAGTCACATGCCCTCTGGGACCCCCAACCCTTCCCCATCCTCCCCATGAAGCTGCCCTCACAATCCCACTCCTCATTCACATCCCAGTTCTGGAGGTTAACTCTCCTCCTTCTGCTCTGCTCAGAAGAACCAAGGGAGATACATGTCAGGAGGAAAGGGGAAGTGAGGGCAGGAAGTAGAATTAGGAACTGAAAGAGAAAAATGAGAAGAGGCCGAGATGGAAGGGGGATACCCTGGAGTGAGAGGCAGAGTGAACTCTAGGTGGGGGGAATTGCAGGACTGAGAACGAGAATGGATTCAGCTGGAAGGGACGAACTTAGGACCAGACCCAGAACACAGGGCTCTGAAGAAGGGCTCTGAGGAGGGGCCCAGAGCAATGGGGGTCCTCTGGGGCAGTGAGACAGATGAAAGACAAATACAGAGAAGACCAAGCAAGGGGGGCTGTCTGTAAGCCCCAATGTGGGTAGTCACACTGTAGCCACACCCCTCCCAATGGAAGACTCGGAGCTTATGGAACGGGGTGAAGAGTAGGGGAGACACACCTTGCTGTCGAGTTTCTTCATAGTCACCAGATCAAGGGACTTCAGGGAGTGCCCTGTGGGTGTGATGAAGTAGAGGCAAACATGGATCCTAGTGTCATGGTAGTCGAAGAGCGAGCGGCGGATCTTCAGCTCCTCCTGGAGATAGTTTTCAAACTGCGCATCGATGTAGTCAACTATGGGCCTGTAACTACAGACAGCTCCATCACCTAGGAGGCAGGCAGCTGAGCCTGGGCACCCACCGGCCTTTCTTCCCGGGAACAAACAGCTCCTCCTGGGGATCCCTGTCTGGGTATAGGTGGCTGGCTGCCTCTCCTGACCCTCCCAGGAGTCGCTGGTCAATTAGATTCCCCAAGAGCCCCTCCCCACCACCCTGCAGTGTGGGAGCTCAGCCGAGCTTTCAAACTGTGACCAAGGTGGGTAAGTTGGGATGAGGCTGGCTGGGGCAGCCCTTCCCGCCTCTTGCCTCTCATCTTTGTTGATCTGATCCCCGAAGCCCACAGCATCCACAATGGTCAGCTTGAGGTGCACGTTGCTCTCTTGGAGGTCGTAGGTCTGGGGCCGCAGGCGCACACATGCCTCGTGGTGACTGGCTTCCTCAGTCTCGAAGGTCGTGTTGAAGAGTGTGTTCATCAATGTGGATTTGCCAATGCCAGTCTCCCCTACAGAGTGGAGACCAGAGGGGGGAGTGGATGGATGTCAAAGGCTGGAAGCAGGGCTACCCCTGGCCAATGGCTAGGCCAACTGGGGCTTGGGCACCTGCAGCCCCACATGAGAGCCGGGAACAGGCCTCACACCCCACCCCTTGGTGTCCCCATGCCCAAGAGCTCTCCCTTTCTCAGTGGCCTCAGAAATACCATGTGGAAGAAAGAGCCAAAAGGCAGACCTGGACATAAGGGGGGACCCTGCAGGATGTGTGGTGTATTGCCTGGGGAAGAGGCAGAGTGGGCAGCTATGGGGGCACCACTGGATGTTGGCCCTGCTGGCCTCTGTGGGACCGGCAGGACCAGTGTCTGAAGCCACCTATGGCACAGTCCACATACCCTGGGTAGCTCCAGCTCTATGTGCCTTTAATGGGGGGAAGTTCTATATCAGCTGCCTCTCAGGGGGCATCTGCAGAAGGTCAGCAGAGCGCTCTGTTGACCTTGAGGCAGAGGGAGCTTGACAGAGCACCCTATCTGGGGTTGTATTCATTCACATGTGTGCTGGAGCACTCACTATGTGATATGGTGGTGGGCGCAGAGTCCTGATTGCCATATGGCCTTGATAAATAGTAGGAAAAAGTAAATGAGTAATGAATGTTTTTTAAATAAACAAATGAATAAATGAATCTAAATCTGTGATAAACACCCACAGTTTACAAAGAAAGTGCCTAATCCCTGTTTACTCTTCATGACAACTCTGTGTCAGGTCCAGGCTCCAACTCTGTCCTTGACTCTGGCAGAGACACCAAACAAACTCTCTTTGTGACCCCTCAAGTTTCACTCCATGCCCAGGAAGCCGCCTTGCAACTCTATAGGCCTCTGGGGCAGGAGCACTATCTCCCAGGTGGTTCTCATCCATCCTCCATCCGAGGCTGCCCCGCCAGGCCATGACACGCACCCACACAGAGGATGTTGAAGCTGAAGCCCTGAGTGACTGACTTGCTGACCAGCTGGTCGGGGAGGCTGTCAAAGCCCACATGGCCGCCCAGGGAGAGGCTCCGTGGTTCTGGCTCTGCACTCTGCCAAAAGAAAAATAAAGCCAGGCAGTAAGCACCCTGGGGAAGCAGGCCACTGGGGAGGCTAAGCCAGAGTTAAGCCAGCCCCTCCCCCTCGTCTGGATTCTCAGCAAATCTCAAGACATACCTGGAGCACAGCAGAGCTCTAACTCCAGACTCCAGGCTTCCAGGCTAAGTTTCCACAAGGAGCCCAGTGACCCTCTAGGCTCCCAAGTCTCACCTTGTAAAAGGACCTTTCACCCTAGGAAAAGGCTCTGCTCTACCTGGGATGGCCTGGGCTCTTCCCTCCTGGAACAGGTGGCCCCAGTGTCTGTGGCTGCTACTCCTGAAGCACACACCAAATCTCCCGCCCAGGACGAGGCCCCACTTGGAGAGTTTGTATGTTCCTGCAGCCAGCTCTGAGCACCACAGTGATATAGCTGTCCCTCCCAAACCCCTGTCTTGAAGCAAGATTCAAGCAGGGGCATGTCTGGCCTGACCCCTACACATACACTCCATCAGACTGGCCCCCACCTTCACCCTTGCTCTTCATGTGCCCAAGATGGGAATGCACAAACAGGCCCTGCTAAAGAAGCCAGCCCTCACTCAGCCCACCACTGGGGCTCAGAGGTGGTCTCCAAAGGGATCACGACTCTCTGAGGTCTCCTGCTTCAGTGGAATTTTCTTGAGACCCCCAGGTTCTTGCTCCTGCCACTCTCACTCTCTCAGCCCAGCCCAGCCCTGGTTGTTTAGACAGAGGATTCTGGGTGAGAATGTGAGGGCCTGGCCTTAGCTGAAAGAGACGGCAGCAGGCCCCAAAAGAGCTGGGCCACTGGAGCTGGCCCATAGCAGTATAAAAAGCAACCACAAGGACCTGAAGCAGAAGGTCACTGTCAGACTCCAATTTATATGAATGGTTTGCCCAGCTACCCTGGGAATGGGGGCAAAATGTTCCCAGGCTCAGCCCCTCTTGGGGGCAGGCCCTAGATAGCTCCATGTTAGACAGAAACATGCCTCCTCCATTCCTGAGCTCCTCTGTCCTGTCAGTTAGAAAGAGGAAGTACAGGAAAGACAGGAGTTCAGAGCCTCACCTGCCCATCTACCCACGGCTCCAGAGAGAGGAGGCAGGCCCAGCTGAGGACAGCCCAAGCTACTCACTCATCAGGGCAGTGGCAGCCCTGGTGCAAGTCCAGATACAGGCCCAGTGGGCAGGGGTCAGGATTGGATGTGGCCCTGGCCCTTACCCTGCAGAGGGCTCTCCTGAGCAGCAAAGCTGACCTCCTGCAGTGGCAGCAGGCTGTCACGCCTGACCCCCTCTGATCAGAGCCCTCTGGCACTCAGACCCAGCTTTTTCTCTGGCTCTGTGGCCCTGCCTCAATGACTGTAAAGTGCATGTGCTGCCAGCCTAGACCCCAGCCATGGCCCTTCTGGGCAGCTGCACTACCCCTCAAACAAGCCAGGGTTACCCCTAAACGTGTTTCTCAGTGGAGCCCTGTCCCTTCCTATCTCCTGTCCTTAGGGTGTCATGTGTCAATCTCTCCACTCAAGGCCAGTTCCCCTCCGGGGCTACAAACACAACCCAACAAAGAGGTCCCAAAGGCAGCTTCCTCTCACTGGTGCCCACATCAAAAACAGCAAACAGCTGAGGACACACTGGGTCAGGTCCAGACCCCTCCGCACAGAGTTCCAGGCCTTCCTCACAGGCCCAGCTCCAGACCAGTTGGTAACTCTGTATTCACTTTTCAAACTCTGCCCTCGCCTGGGTTCAAGAACTCACTCTCCCTGGTACCTCCTCCCACCTGGCCACTAAGTACTTACTTTCCAGAGCCCTCACTTGGCAGAGATCCCATTCCTTGTACTATTGGTTATCCTATTTTTTATAAATCTTGTTTCTCCATAACTTGGCTGCAGGTTGGGGGAGGTCAGGTTTGCCATTCTTCTCCCCCCCCACCACAGCTATGCCCAACATGCTAGAGGGCACCACCGTTCATCAGTTACTGGACACCATCTTCAACTGCTGAGGCCCCAGGCGCCTGCCACCTTACATAGGGCTTCATTATTAGTCCCCATCCCACCTGCTTCTGGCAGCTTGAGGATCAAATGGAGGACAGAACAGTCAGTCTAGAGCATTTCTCTTTTCAGGCGAGACTGAAAGTCTTCAAAATTTAAGGCGTGCTGCGCTTGCAGAGAAGGCTATGTGTTTATTCATCCTCTTCTTCCAAGGGTGACACAATCAGGATGCTATCCAACATCCTGTAGTCTGCCGCCAAAACCCACCAAGTCAGCTGCATCTGGAAACCGCACACACGCTCTCTCACACACATTCACACACTCACACACAGTCGCATGTGCTCTGCTACAGAGCACTTACTAAGAAACAGAGGCCATCCCATTCCTCAGTTTCCCCACTTTCTCACAGTTCCAGGCCCAAGGCGGAAGCAGCACTAAGGGTCTCACAGAAGTCCACTTTTATCCACCTCTGCAAATGCTACCTGCCCTCCCTCACACAGCTCAGCTCTCTTGGGGGAAGTATATGGAATTCAGGGCGGTTGTCACCCCCAAGTTGTAGTTGGAATGCAGTCTGTCATTCCAGGGGCTGTAGACCAGGGGCCACTAGGACCAGTGGGGTGTCAATCTATGGACCACGTGTACACACATGCACACACACAGGATACCACAGGCCCTGATGGAGATGGTGCTGTTTCCCCTGGTGTCAGGAGACTGATACAACCTCCCCGTTTTGCTGAGGGGTGACTCTCATTAATGCAGACTCTCCAGCCACGTACTTGGCATCAACAACATGTGATCTCAGCTGCACTGCTTGCGCCAAGATGCCTGCCTCAGAGAGCTCTTCTAAGCTAGGTGGGCTCACAGCAGCCTCTGAAGCATTTCCTGCACATCTTAACAACCACAGCTCAGAAATAAAGTCGGGTCGCCCACTGGCTACCAACCCCAGGGGGGGCAAACAGTCAGCAGGATCCCCTGACTGATTCAGGAACAGATAAGTGACTAAGGTTTACCCATTAGGGGAGCTCACCTTAGCCTAAAGTCAGAGGATGACAGCCAATGTCTGCCCAATCTCTGGGCTTTCACCTTTTCCCTGGCTGTACCCCCTTTGTCGCATGAGCTAATTGAGTGGAGTTATCTGTTATTTGCAACTGAAAGCATCTTGACTGCTACAGTGTCCAAAGTGAAACTCTTCTGGATGCAGAGGAATAGGTAGCAAGTAAGCAGAGCCAGGAGACAGCAGGATGGTGTAGAAAGTAAAATGTCTCAGTGCTGACAACCACGGGAAGGAATGAATGTCAAAGATGACACCAACACCTCACTGAGGACCACCATGTGCAAACTAAGCCAAATGAATCAGTCTCTCAGTCCTCTCCCACTGCAGGGAGCAGACATCACCCCATTTTACAAGTGAGCAAACTGAGATACACAGAAGCTATGGAACTAACAAGGGCAGAGCAGGCATTTGACAGCAGGCCAACCCCAAACCACTCTGAAACATCACCTCCCCTACTGTTAGCAGGCTCCCAGCTCAATCATTTGGTCACTCAACACACACTCCCTGGACACATCTGCTATGTGCCAGGCACTGGGATGGCTGCCAGTGAAGAGATGAGGACACCAGCCCCTTGACCTCAGGGGGCTCATTTAAACACAAGTGCCTAGAGAGCCCGGCGGATAACACACATGGGTGAAGAGGAGCAGTATAGTAATAGCTAGGAGGACAACAACAACAGCAGCTAACAGTGCTCACATGCTCGCCATGTGCAACTGTAATCTCACCTAATCCACACATCCGCCCTATGATGTAGACTGTAATAGCATTTCCACTGCACAGAAGACACAACTGAGGCACCAAAAGATGATATAATTTGCCCAAGTCCACACTGCTCAGGAGAGTAAAGCCAGGGCCTGAATGGAGACAGCTTGACTGGAAAACCTACGCTTCTAACCACTTGGCTCTGCAGCCTGCTGGAGGAAAGACAGATGCTGACCCAGCCAAGTGTGAAGCCTCACAGCGAGAGGAGGAAACGACAGGGGACTACAGAGTCTGTGCCCAGCTATGTCTGCGGTGGCCACAGCTCTACAACTTCCAACCAACTGTGGGAATGAACGCAGGTCTACTATTGCTAAATCTTTCAATTTTTCAAGAGAATCCAGAAATCTAGATTTTTATGTGAAATCCCATTTTCAAAGGTTGACAATGCAAACTGAGAATACTATGAGGATCTGACACAACATTTCGGGGGGCTGGTCCAGGCCAAAGGCCTGACAGTCTGCAAGTCATGCAGAAGAGTGAATGGAAAAGACCGGGGTACACCGCCCCCACTCCATTCCTGGGTCATGGAGACCCACAAGAGGCTGCTCCACAGCAAGGAGCCTTCAGGCAGGGCAATTTAACTTGGAACCTGGTGGGAGGAGGACACTACAGCCTCTGGCCCTTTCCACACACCCAGCTCCCTGGGGTGCTCACTCAGGGGGCTCTCCATGTCTTCAAAGCCAGCAGAGCATAGAGTTGGCATCTCTAAGCTCCGCACACACAATGAGGAACCCCATGGGGCCATTATCCCCTCTCTAATCACTAACAAGCTTTGGGCTCCTGAGCCAGGCCCCAGGCTTCTGTGTCATCATTTCTTTGGCACATCAAACACAACCACCAAAATAATAGCTGCTCAGGCGGGCTGTGTGTTTCCATTGCCTGGCCTTCCAGAACAAAATAGAGAACAGCATTTTGTTATGCAGCCCAGTGGATAACTAGGACGTCCTTTTCCTGACCAGGAAATGCTCTGTCTGAGCCTTCTGAAACCGCTCTAACCACCAGCCAAGAAGAGCAGCCCCTTTAACCAAGAAGCAAGGTGGGATTTGGAGATACCACGTCTCATAGTTTGCCCACACACAAAAACAGGCTTTTTATCCAAGAGCAATTAGAATCTGCTGAATGTCTAAACCAACAAAGCCAGTGAAGCTATAAGTGAATAAAGACCCTTGAGATCAAACCTCTCAAACTAGATTGGTTT